CCCCTCCCCATGTATGTGCGTGCCCCGCCCCCCGTGGCGCCACCTCCCCCCGTCACGGGACACGCGCGGTCCCGCGTGGGAGAAGGGCCCGCGAGGCCGCCCACCCGCGCCCGCGGCGGAGGCGCCAACCCTCCGCACCCTTAAAACCAMCAAAATAATAATAAAAAAGAGCAAGAAAAGGGTGACTTAAATATTTTAAATTCCGTCCTTTTGTGTGTATATTTATTTTCCTTCATTCCCTTTTCACGCACGTCTTATTTCGCAGGCGGGACATCGCGCAGGGCCCGCGCCGCCGCCTGCTCGCCGCTCACTTTGCGCGCCCCCTCGGGCCGCGCTGCCCCCCGCTCCGCTTCCTCTATTTCCCTACCCGCCTTTCTTTTCATTTTTCTCCCCATTCTCTTCCCGCCGYCCCCCTTTTTTTGTATTTTGTTTTTAATTTTATTTTCCCAAGGCCACGTCCCGCCTCGCCGCCGTGCCCAGCGCTGTAAAACCGCCCATTTCTGTTCCGCAGCGCTGCGGAGCGCGGGGGGCAGGAGAAAAACGCAGGAGCCTCCGCTGCCCCCGGCAGAGCCCATTCCCGCTTTATTTTAGGGCTTCTCTCTCTCTCTCTCTCTCTCTCTCTCTTTTTTCCCCCTTTCTTTCTTTATTTCTTTCTAGGCGGGAGGGAAAGGATTATTAAAAGAAGAAAAAAAAAAAAAAAAAAAAAGCGCCACCGATATAAATTCCCCCCGCGGTACCATAAACGGCGCAAATTTCCCAGGCCGCCGCGAGCAGCCCCACGGTGGGAAGGTGAGTCCCGCGCTGCGGGACAAGGCGGTGGCGGGGACGGGGACGGGGACGGGCGGGGGCGGAGAGGACATTAGTGCCCTCCAGCGCGTGGCGGGGCGGCTCGGCCACAGCTCTCCTCCCGAAAAACAAAACAAAAAAAAAAAACAAAAAAAAAAAAAAAAGGGGGGGGGGAAAAAAAGAGAGAGAGAGAAAAGGGCACCGCTCAATTTGCTCCGAGGCTCGGAAGTCGCCGCCCTGAGCGGAGTCGAAATACACATTTATTATTATTRTTGTTGTTATTATTTCTTTTTCTGCGGACCCCCCCGCGKGGGGGTGGCGCCCCGGGGCGCGCCAAGGCCCCCGGAGGGGGGGCCGCGACAAGGGGGCGGCCGCGGAGCACCGCGCTGCGCGCACGGGGCTCAGCCCACGTACCCTGCCCCACGCGCCTGCTCTGTGCCCTGTACATCAGCSCTATACGTTCCCCATCGCGACACTGCCACCTTGGCCGGGCCCGACATCCGCACGGGCGCAGCGACACTGCGCTCTCCCGAACGCTTCCTCGCCGCAGCGCGTGAGATCCAACACCCAGAATGGCGCAAAACGCTTTTTTTTTTTCAGTGCATTATCGGTGTATGATTTTTTTTTTTCGCCGTGTTTTCGAGTTTTCGAAATAAAATGTGTATTATTTTTATCGCTTCAGAAAACTGCGGTTTTTTTCAGCGGCATTTCTGCCCGATCCCAGCTTCTTGTGTTTGTTTTTCAGAGGCGAGTAAATATTTTTTTTTTTCTTTTTTTAAAATCTATCTCAATTGCAAACAACGAGGAGCGCAGAAGTCGCCTCGCAGGTTGCCCTGTTCTCCGCGAGAGGACGGCGGGGAAGACACCTCATTTTACGTCAAGTGCGAAGATATCTGTGTCTTTCTACTTCCAGCACCTTTTCCTCCCTCTCTTCCTCTCTCTCGTGTCTTTTTTTCCTTTTTCTTTTTTTTTTTTCTTTTTTTTTTTTTCTGGAGGGCGTATGATTTGAGAATTTAACAGCCACAAAGAAAATAAATAAACAAAATAACGGAGAAATTTAACAGCAGTACTACCCGCTCGGGCCCTGCACCGGCAGCGAGAGGAAAAACGGCCCCCAGCCGCTCGACTCGTACTCATTAAAACGTTGATTTTTTTTTTTTTCTGATTTTTTTTTTTTTTCCGCCCGGGCAGGGCAGGGGCCGGGGGTTTTGGGGCGCTGCTGCCCGGGCAGAGCAGGGACCCGGCTGAGTTGCGAGTTTCCCTCGCCCCTTTCCCGAAACCTGCGCGAAAAAGGCAAAATCACCCGCGGGGAACAAGCCCCAAAATAAATGAATAAAAAAAGAAAATCCCGCGCCCTTCTGTGAGCTGACCGGCGTTTTTTTTAATAAGCCCTAAATACCTTTTTAAAATTCAGCGTATCGTGGACAAATGAAAATCACTAACGAGCGTAAAGACAAGTAGTTTTTCTTCTGCCACAAACATATTGCGTTTGCGCCGTAATTAAATGCGAACCGGGAGCGAATGAGACGTTTCCAGCGTAGCTGTCACTCAGCGCGGGGGCTCTCGCAGGCATTTGAACTTCAGGGATGCGGCGGGAGCAAAAGGGTCTGAACTTCCACGGAGGCTGGAAGGAAAACGCCACAAAACGTCCGTGCAAACGGGTTCGGTGCCGAGGCGGCCCCAGCCGGCAGCTCCGCGCCCCGCGCAGCCGGGGAAGGGGCGCGGGGCTCGCTCAGCTGCGGCGCTTTCCGCGGATTTGGTGTTTGGGAAGTGTGTGTGGGGAGGGGGGGACGGTGCTTGTCCCACGTGAGTTTTAAATAAACGAGCCGTTCCGCTGCGCCAAGGGAAAGAAAGAAGAAAAAG